GATAATCTTAAAGTTCACAGGAAATTTGGAATATTATACATCCAGACATTATCTAAATCATGTTGGAATAGCAGGGCATCTGATGAATCCAATTATGTGATAATCATTGCAATTCATGGTTGACTAGCAGCAAAAAGGACATACTGAGTCCAATGTCTCTCAGACAGGAATCCTGCTCTCCTTTCTACATTCATTTGCCATGTCAAAGAGGAAAAAATTACCAATTAATCAACTCCATACCATAATTCCAGATTATTCTGGTGAAATGAAACTAACAACACTGTTTCTCTTCTTCCCAGAAAGAACATCTTACATTAACTACAAATGTAGACACTATTATACACTTCAAAAAATATCCAAACATCCTTAGCTATAAACTATAAACTTTTTCCATGTACCTTTCAACTCATTTCCTCATTTTTGAGAATTTTTTTTTAACCAGTACTCATTTTTGAGATTTTAAATATCAACTAGGCATAGATTACTTATTGTTCTCGAACACTTCACCATAAAATGTGAACTGAAAGCATAGCCAAGGTAGGTTTCTGAAAACTTTAACAAGTCCAAATAATGATAACATTAGCACAGAAACTAAAGGGAATGAGAATCACATGTAGACATCACATGTAGACTCCAGAATCACTTTTCTTAACCATAGTACTGATTGAGGGAAAAGCTCTTTATTACAAAGATTGTAGAAGGTTATCCCCATCAAAATGTTGGCATTATATTCCCTCATCTGATGGAAGAAAGCTCTTCTCAATGTACAAGAGAAGTAAACAACCTTTTATTAGTAGCAGAAATTATGATAAAAATTTAAGAGATTGCAACTGACAACAAAGGAAAAGTCATCCTTTCATAATCAAGTTACCAATCTCAAAATGATGGGCGCCAGAAATAAGAATAAGAAATTTGGTCCAATCTTACAATCATTTAATTAAGCACAGAAATTAGGTCCACTCCTCTTCCTTAAGATCCTGACCTAAGAAGCAGGGACACAGACATTCAACACAACACAGACACTATTTTCTAAAAATTTAGGATACGACACATTAAGGATGCAAAAAATATATATATTTATTATTTTTAAATATAAATAAAAACTAGAATACAATGTTAAATCTATGAGTTTTTTTTTTTTTTGGATAATCCAAATCAATGAATGTCTAAGATCTAATATGTCAATATACCACAAATTTCCTTATTCAACTTTCTCTCTCCATTATTATCTCATCTTTCCATTTTATTTGGCCCACCTATATAGCTCTACCTCACTTTTCATTTCCCATCTTCTCCATACTCCCATCTTTTTTTTACTGAACCTATCATCCTATCATACTTCTACCTTTGTTTTCCAATTCCCAAGTTCTCCCCATGGTAGGTATGTAGAACTAACTTCAAAATTGTAATGCTACAGATGAATCTGCAGACATTTTGAAAGTTAAGATTTCACCAGAATCACCAGACCATTGTTAGAGTTTGCTGGAAGGCCCAGGACTATTAGTGTTCTGTTGTCGGCGTTCAGATTTAAAAACATTCCCAAGCATGTCCTCAACATGTTCCCATGTCCCCATTTCCAAAATCAAAAATGAAAACAAAATAATTGGACACTCTAAAAGTGTGGGTCCGACATGTATCCATAATGTGTATGCGTGTCCGCATGTCAGACACAGACACTCTGACCAAAGAAGTGTGTCCGGGCTTCATAGATCCTGATAAATGCCAAAGAGCCATTGGCTCAATGCACCAACAATACTCCAAAAGCATGGAAGGGCAGCCTTACCTGGGTTCAATACCCAAGAAAAACCTTTGCCGCCTAATCAAAATGAAGGATTTTTGGGGTTATCAGGGAAGGTGACTGTTTTAACATAAACAAACAGTCCATTTTACAAATAATAATAATAATAATAATAATAATAATTATTATTATTATTATTATTATTATTATTATTATTATTATAGAGTATGAAAGCACACAGGCAATCAATGGTTTTTGAATTTATCCATGCAGATTGTTTTAAGTAAATAACCAAACTTGCAATCATTCCAAAAATTTATATATATGATGAGAATAATGTACTCCTGTAAAACAATCAACCATCATCAAAAAATAAGTCATACTATCGTTACCTTGTTGATAAGCATCTGGCCGCGATCGATGTTGCCCTCCAGAAGAACTGGCTCCATTTTCAGGTGGCACAACTAGTGCTCTGCAAGTAGGGCATGTGTGCTGCCTTTCTAGCCATGAGCGTAGGCAATGTATATGAAAAAGATGTCCACATAATAATTTCTTTGCAGTGATCATCTCTTCACGGCATATAATGCAGGTTGCATCACTTCTGAACAGACAACAATAACAGTTAAGTCACAATGCCTAGAAAGATGTTCAGCATCACGAACATTAATTCTAAAAACTGAATTATAACTTACGCATTGAGCTCCTCTGGTGTAGCATCTGGGAATCTATCATTCATATTTGAAGTGATCTTACGGTAACGAATATAGTCAGCAACACGAATTTTGAAATTCCTAAATGTCTCATAAAGCTCTCGTATTAAGTGCAAAGGTATCCCATAGTTCCTATAGAAGCCAATGCAAGATTAATAACTAAGTAATGGCATTGAGTTAAGAACAGACGTAAAACAAAATTCCCAAATAATAAACATAAAAAGAACCATAGAAGTTTTTGTCTTTCTGAAACAAGAAGTAATCATACAAATAACACCAAAACATACATTTACAATCTAACCAAGCATCAATGTAAACTAGCACGGTAGCTACAAAATTGAATGAAAATAGAATCAGGAATTCCAAATGAAAGCTTAATAAAAAGGAAAAGCATGGCAGGAAGAAACATTGATATGATTCAACATTGAAAAGCAATGCAACACACTACATGTGCAGAAACCACATCACCCTTCTAGCACTAAGGTTAGGTTACATCCAACCAGCCCAATGCACCCCCTAAAGGGTAATACATGCCTAATGCCACAGCATCCTAAGACAACGTATTAAGAGAGATCATAACACGATAAAGTTGCCTAGAATAGAGGTAGAAGAGATTCCATCTAAATATTGACCAGACATCAACAATAGTTCATCACTACATTGCAATTCAAATGTATCAAGCCTTCGCTACAAGTTAAGAAGAGGTCTTGTGAGCAAACAAATTAAAGTGATCCAATGTCTTTACCTATTTTTTGCATGCATATAAGTAATCCTGTAGAAAAAAGTTGCATGGTTTACTTACATGAAAATCACAAGGAAAAAACACAAATACATAGACAAGTGAAGCAAGTCCCGGATGAGCTCCAAGTAAAAGGTATAGACAGCCTTTTTCTCCCATTGTCCTTCCATGAGCATGTCACTCACATAGAAAATATATTTAACAAAAGTTGACACTGTTGTTGTTGCCAGTATCATGTACCTAAAACACAGAAACAAATGGATAATTAATTGCATATGGATGAAAGAAAAGTGCATGATATTAAGGTCTAAGAGAATATGGAAGCCAAAGAAAAAATTTATCAAGAAGACACAGCATGACCTAGAACAAAGCAATGACTTAACAAGTACATGATCTTTATAAATCTTAGAAAAGCAAGGACTGTGCTTCAACATGTATATAAATCTCTGCGAATCTTTGTTTTCCACTTCACATGTCATTATTGATAGTTAACTAGTCATGATAGCAATTGAATAGGGAATAGAATTCACACACAGATGGAAGTAACTAAGCATGTCAGTGGAAAAAAATGAAATGAAATAAAATAAGTAAACCAGTAATTGGAAAAGAAAGACAATGGAAATAAATAACTTACTCAAAGGAGAAGAACAGGGAAACTGAAGCTTGTCTTGTTTGAATCAAAAACTTTATAGAGCTGTAAAGAAAGAGACAATCTAGAAGAAGAAGAAACCCCAGAAAAGAAACTATCCGGATATGGGACAAGGTGGGAACAGAAGGTGTTGTCTCAATGTACTCCACCCTCTTCTGTGCCAACCAATGCAAAGCCTTGATTAACAACAGAGCTGTGACCATAGCAAGAAAAGTAACTGAGAAATCCTGCCGGAAAATAGTGATGGCAAAGAGAATCTCCATGACCTCCCTCCATGACTGCTCATTTAACCTCTCAACCTCAGCTTCACGAAGAGAACCAAGGAATACCCGTTTGATTAATTGCCACAAAATGCACATAATGACAAGACCCATGTTGAGAAGGAGCACCAGACTGATCTTGGAGGTAGATAAGTAAACCATAGCCGGATAAAACTGGCCTCTACTGTTAAACGCATGATGAATGATTGCTAAAGTCGCAACCAAACTAAGCCCCACGTATGTCCTCAACCTCATCATTTTCCTCTATCAACAACTGATCACAATAAGACATTCAATCAGCAGGACCAAAATCCCAAAAACAAGTTCATATTTGTTTGTTTACCCAGAAAAGCCTATGTAAATAAAAAAATTTAACATAAAATAAATTTAATAAGAGAACTCCATCTCCCTAAAATTTAAGACCTAATAAAATCCAAAATTCAATATATTACCACAAAAAAGTTGAACATTTAACAATTAATTCGTTACATGAGAAATTCAATCAAAATTATCAAATAAAAACAATAGTCGGAAAATAGAGAAAAGGAAAAAACACCTCTCAAGAAGCCTCTAGTGTTGAAAAATGGGTTATTTTCACATACGGTTCAGTAGCAGATCAAATGGCATATTTTCTCTTCAAAAATTGCTGGTAAACAAGCAGAAAATTTTAGGAAGGAAAATTAAACAAAATAAATTTGGGATTGAGAGGACTTGAAGTTAGGAGGATCAAGGCTGTCAAACTCTAGAGTTTTAAGTAAACTCACTTTTGCTAGGTAAAATCAGAGTCATAACACCAAATAACATATCAACAACAAAGAACCAACTTTCTACTGCCAGCAGCATTTTTACAAGAAATTTTTTAGGCAAACATTTCTAGATTATAGATCGAAACTACAAAAGAAAAACAGAAAATATAATAACTTAGATTAGAATCCAATATGTTGCTGATGAAAATGATCTCACATGAATTAGGCACACATAACCAGCAATTTAACAATTATCTTTTATCAATGTCTTTAACCCTTAAACACACAGCATTTTCTTTTCCCTACTTTAATTAAGAAATCAAGTAAACACCACAGAAGAAATCAAAAACCAGAATATAAGAAATGAAAACCAAAAACAAGTTGAATCATCAATCCTGCATATAGTTCAAGAGATCTACATACAACACGAGAATCTTTCATGAATCAATAAATTTATCTAGTTAATGAAATTAGTAACCCATGAATAAAAGAAACACCCTTATAAAAGAAATTGAAAAAATCTATATTATAAATAGCTTTATGCCTAGCCACTCAAGAAACAATCTCAGCAAAAGGAGGGGGTGGGGGGAATTGACAATGAAATAAGGAAGCAGTGTGTTGATGACCAAAAATAAATTGAGTTGATGCCAACCCAAATGAAGGTGGGATAGGTTACTTAGATCAGCAAAGATTAACAAAGTTGAGAATATAGTTAAGTGTTGGGAAAGGCATAAGCGCACCTCATTTACAATCAACCTAACAATTTTATTAAAATCTTGTATTAGTATTGTTTATGACTTTCATTTTCTTTATGTATGTTTTTATATTTTTATATTTTTTTGTTTTAAACCTCTTAAAGGCTTCTATTCTTTTATATTTTTATCAATTTTTCAATTTTAAAATTTGTATACACATCTTCATTTCTTTTCCTTTATCTTTTCTTTTCCATTTCTATTGTACCTTCTTTTTTTTTCTTTTTTCTTTTTTACTTTATTTGATTAAATCTAAACTCATTGGACATTCAACCCAAAACCTAAAGTTATTCCTTAGTCCCTAGAAACACCACTATTAAGTGCATTTAAAATTAGATCAAACACATTCCACTGTATTTAAAAACATAGAAAGCACCCAAAAAGCACAAATCAATTCAAATATGAAAATGAAAATAACAGCATCAATTACTCAGCAAAATCAACAAACAGAAGTCTATCACTTAATCAAACCATGGTCTGAATCAAAATTTAACAAAAAAAAAAAAAAAAACTCTAAAAGAAAAACCTGAAGAAAAGTCAAACATAATTCTGTAACGTGTGTGCTAGTATACCATTCAATTTGGTTCTGTAGAAATTCTATCCTTCATAATTCCGTTTCATGGGATTAAAAACTTGCCTTTGAAATAATCATGAGGAGATCCTTTGCTTGAATTAAGGGCAAACTAGACAGATACGTGCTAGTATACCACCAGTGGTGTTTATTTCCTAATTAACACGCTAAAGACTTTTGAGTCTTATATTGTGTGGTTTTACAGGTGTTGTTTCGTAAGCTTATTTGTTTTTGAAGAATAGCTTGCTGTTGGGGTGGTGTAAAGGGAGGTTCTTTATGGAGTATTTAGTGTTGTTTCATTCTATGTTCGGAACAATTTTGTAGTGTAAGGATTGGAGCTGCCAATTGTACTCTCATAAAAATAAATTTTTTATTCATCCAGGATACTAATAAAAAAAATTTTTAAAAATTTGTTAAACATAAAGCCGGAATTCTCATTGTGCTCGATATCCCCTTTTCAAGCTAAATTAATTGAAATTTTTTTCTGATATATGCCAGAATCCTAAAATTGTAGCTCATGAATCAAAAATCAAATACCACAAATCCACATAAAAACAGTACAATGATAAAAAAAAAAAATTCAGGATCCAAACCAAGGAGGATACTTACAATCATCAACAAGATACTAACAGGACATTAACCACAGAACTTAGAAGACAATTAAACAACACGCATCCCCTTTTCCAGGTAAATATTAGCTTAGATTAATCACCTCCCCTAGAAATTAGACACAGACAGCGCAAGAATACCTGAAGTTGCAGCAACCTCCCCGGTTCTTTTCTTCTTTTTGCAACTGCTGGATTTCAAAGGTCAGTGCTTCTCAGGAGAAGGGAGACTGGGTGAATACCCTTTCTCTCGTGCTCCTCTTATATTTTTTCTATTCACTACTAAGTCCCCAACCTCCCTAAACGCCACCGTTTCAGTCTCCCTTTCCTACTTTTCTTTTCCTACTTTATATATAAAAATTTTATTTTACAATTCAGGCTTTGTGTATTGTAAGATAGAAACCGAAGGCAAGAGGTGAATTCTCATGAGATGGTTATTATTTTAGTATATACATTAATTTAAATTATAAAATATTTATGTATTTTATTTTTTATTTTTTATTTTTTATATAAAAATATTTTTTAATGCAGGCTATATTTTTTATTTTTAATAAATAATAGAAGAGAATTTTATTAAAAATATTTAATACGGTATAAATAAAAAAAATACCTTTTTATTTTTTTAACTTTTATTTTGTTATTTTCTCTTTTTTACACCTCAATTCCCTGTTTCGCACCATTCTTTTGCCAGCTCATCTCTTATGCGTGTTCCCTCCAATCACCAACCGACACTTTGCTACACTAAATCTCCGAACTTTCTATAATTTTTAACTCTTGATCTGACAATTTAATCCACAAAGTTCTTATCTTTTAACAATTTTATGCCTTCAAAAGTGAAAATATCAACTAAGTCCCAAAAAGATCATTTTTGTAATTTTCTTTTAAAAATTTTTTTCCAAACTGTAAAAAAAAAATTATTATTAGATTAGAAATGGATCCTTCTATCCAATAGTTAGTGTTTTAGAATCTCAATTTGTACTAAATTTTTATCTATAATTAAGAGAAAATTAAAAGTTAATTTCTCCTAATGCTATTAAACCTTCAAAATTCTATTTCATAATGAAAACTCTAATAATATAT